TCGGTAATTGGTGAATTGCTTTGGTTGGTTTAATTTGCTTGTGGTTATGTTGTTGTCCTTTGGTTCCCATCATATGAGCGCGTGTGTGGATCACACCGTAGCGTTAGTTGTATGTTGATAGGACTATGCATTGGAGGGCAAGGGTGACAACAACTTAAGCCTAAACATAGAAATTGATACATACGGAATTGAAGGGGGGCCAATATATACCTTAATGATATGTTTGGGTTTTACCTTAATTAATGAACATTAGTAGTTGCGGATGCTTGCTAATGGTTCCTATAATAAGTGCATAGAATTCCAAGTAAGGGAGGACATGCTAGTAGAGGCCTCTCCCACATAAAAACTTGCTATCGGCCTAAGCAACTTAGTCAATTGCTAAGGGAAAACTCCGCAAATCCTACCACCACTTATTCACACTCGTTTTACTAAGTTATTTGTTTCTTTATTTTAAACAGCACCTAACTTTTATTTTCACGTTCTTTATTATCTTTCAAACCTATCCACACCTACAAAGTACTTCTAGTTTTATTCTTGTTCTAGGTAAAGCAAACGTTAAGCGTGCATAGAGTTGTATCGGTGGTCATAGAACTTGAGGTAATATTTGTTCTGCCTTTAGCTCCTCATTGGGTTCGACACTCTTATTTATAAAAAAAGGCTACAAAGGATCCCCTATACTTGTGGGTTATCAGTAGGTAGATGGCTTCTTTTCTCTTTTTGATCTTCAATACAATGTTCTCCTTGATGTTCTTGGAGATCTATTCGATATAATCTTCTTTTGTTGTGTGTTTGTTGAGATCCGATGAATTGTGGGTTTATGATCAGATTATCTATGAATATTATTTGAGTCTTCTCTGAACTCTTTTATGCATGACTAAGATAGCTTTGTATTTCTCTCCGATCTATTGATTTGGTTTGGCCAACTAGATTGATCTATCTTGCAATGGGAGAGGTGCTTTGTGATGGGTTCAATCTTGTGGTGTCCTCACCCAATGATAGTAGGGGTAGCGAGGCACGTATTTGTATTGTTGCCATTAAGGATAAAAAGGTGGGGTTTTTACCATATTGCTTGGATCTATCCCTCTACATCATGTCATATTGCTTAAGGCGTGACTCCATTTTTGTTAACTTAATACACTAGATGCATGTTGGATAGCGGTTGATGTGTGTAGTAATAGTAGTAGATGCAGGCAGGAGTCGGTCTACTTGTCATGAACGTGATGCCTATATTCATGATCATTGCCTTAGATATCATCATAACTATGCGCTTTTCTATCAATTGCTCAAAAGTAATTCGTTTACCCACCGTATGCTTTCTTCAAGAGAGAAGCCTCTAGTGAAACCTATGCCCCCCGGGTCTATTTTTATCATATTATTTTCAGATCTATATTACCAAAAACCTTAAAATACCTTGCTGCAATTTATTTATCTTTACTTTATTTTGCACTTTTATTTATGTTTTATACCTATCTCTATCAGATCTCATCCTTGGAGGTAACTGTGAAGGGATTGACAACCCCTTTATTGCGTTGGGTGCAAGTATTTGTTTGTTTGTGTAGGTGCTATCATTGGGGACTTGTGTGTCCCTCCTACTGGATTGATACCTTGGTTCTTAACTGAGAGAAATACTTATCTTGACTTTGCTGCATCACCCTTTCCCCTTGAAGGGAAAAACCAACGCAAGCTCAAGAAGTAGCAGGCGGCTGGGAAGGAGATCTGAGGCAGCGAAATTGCTACAAAGCCATGTGCACTGAGGGAAATACTTATCTCTACTTTGCTGCACCACCCTTTCCTCTTCAAGGAAAAAACCAACGCAAACTCAAGAAGTAGCAGGCGGCAGGGAAATAGATCTGAGGCAGCAAAATTGCTACAAAGCCATGTGCACTTCTAGGACATCAACACACAATTGCAACTTTAGGGGTAAACCTCCAGTTGCAACTCTATTGGTGGACATGCAACTAGCCAACATCCCCCCTTCAGTTCCAGTCGCGTTGTACCCCTTGCAGTTGCAAGCGGGTTGTGACATGTGCAGTTGCAAATCTAGTGATGAACATCCAACTGGCCTACATTCCTCCTATTCCAGTTGCAGCCGCGTTGTACCCCTTACAGTTGCAGACAGGTTCCGACACATGTAGCCGCAACTCTAGTTGTGGATATGCAACTGGCCTACACCCCCTCTAGTAGGACTGGGCGTTCGGTTCCCCCGAATCGATCGGTGCGGTTCTTCGGTTTTTGTAACAGTTCGGTTTTGAGTAATCACTGACCGAAAAATTAATTAAAAAATGCCAAACCGAGGTTCCAGTGCACCGAGAAATCGGTTCCGTCTTCGGTGGTGACCGAACAACACCGATATATACTTATATAATAGCAAAAGCCAGCAGCGGCAGGAATCTCTGGCCGTACTTGCAGTACTCAATGCATGTAGGCTGTAGCACTGCCTGCCTGACCGCTAGCTCAAAGCTAGCCTCCACCTCCATGCCAACTCACATGCTCAGCATCGGGAATGCCAAGAAGGGATGGAAGGTGAAGCATCCACCATTAAACTCCATACGGGAATCGACGCGTCAGTGAATTAAATTGCAGGGGTTAGCCAGCGCGCAGCTCGCTCGCTACCTCGGTACTCGTCACACATGCGGCTGCGGGGGATAAGGGTAGGTCGGTAGGGATAGCAGCAGGCGCATATGGGCTGGGCCTCTTTTTTGCTCGGTGTTCGGTCTGTTCGGTTGATAGAGGGCTAAACCTGAATCGACCGAACTAATTTCGGTTTCCTTGACATGCAGATCGATTGTACCACCGAAGTTTTCGGTTTCGGTGCATTCGGCTTCGGTGTCGGTTATTTCGGTTCGGTACGCCAGTTTTCGGGTTATATGCCCAGCCCTACCCTCTAGTTGCAGCCACGTTTTCCCCTTGCAGTTGCGGTGGGCTGTGGCACGTGCAGTCGTAACTATAGTTCTGGACATGCAACTGGCCTACATCCCCCTCTAGTTGCGGTCGTGTTGTATCCCTTGTTGTTGGAGGCGTTTTGCGACACGTGTAGTTACACCTCTAGTGGTGGACATGCAACTGGCCTACATCCCTCCTCCTCCAGTTCCAGTCACGTTGTACCCCTTGCAGTTGCAGGTGGGTTGTGACACATGCAGTTGCAACTATAGTGGCAGACATGTAAATGGCATACACCCTTCCAGTTGAAGTTGCGTTGTAACCTTGCAACCTTGTAGTTGCAGGTGGGTTGCGGTGCGTGCAGT